TTTTAACATGGACCTGCGGCATGTGTAGCGCTAAGATGATCGTAATTCCCATACTTTAACACAGACTTGCGGCAGTTGTAGCGCTAAGATGATTGTAATTCCCATACTTTAACACCGACTTGCGGCAGTTGTAGCGCTAAGATGATCGTAATTCTCATACTTTAACACAGACTTGCGGCAGTTGTAGCGCTAAGATGATCGTAATTCCCATACTTTAACACAGACTTGCGGCAGTTGTAGCGCTAAGATGATCGTAATTCTCATACTTTAACACAGACTTGCGGCAGTTGTAGCGCTAAGATGATTGTAATTCCCATACTTTAACACAGACTTGCGGCAGTTGTAGCGCTAAGATGATCGTAATTCCCATACTTTAACACAGACTTGCGGCAGTTGTAGCGCTAAGATGATCGTAATTCCCATACTTTAACACAGACTTGCGGCAGTTGTAGCGCTAAGATGATCGTAATTCCCATACTTTAACACAGACTTGCGGCAGTTGTAGCGCTAAGATGATCGTAATTCCCATACTTTAACACAGACTTGCGGCAGTTGTAGCGATAAGATGATCGTAATTCTCATACTTTAACACCGACTTGCGGCAGTTGTAGCACTAAGATGATCGTAATTCCCATACTTTAACATAGATTTACGACAGTTGTAGCGCTAAGATGATCGTAATTTTCATACTCTCACAAAGACTTATGACAGTTGTAGCGCTAAGATAGTCGTACTTCCCATACTTTAACACTGGCTTGCAGCAGTTGTAGTGCTAATGTTGCTTTGCACAACTGGCCCCAGGTCACACATTGTAACCCCATTTCTCCCTAACTGGCATGTGTCTGGTCCTGGGGACCTGTTCTTCTCTGGAATCCTCACAAGGTTGAGTTGCAGAAAAGCAGTTTCTCTCAATAATAGAGAGGCATACACCACTTGACACTGTTTTATAACAGGCAATAAAACACAATATATAATACAATAGTATAAAACAATAACAAAATTGCATAATATCTGGTAAAGATGTACTTTTGACAAAAGGGCTGTCCCAAGACAGGTATCATCTATAAATAGATTGTAAAGGCCACCTTTTTCTTGCCAAACTGCCCAATAGTTAAGGTTAGAAACATTAACTTATGTTAGAAACATTAAAAAGCAGCTGACAAAATTGTCATAATATTTGGTCAAAACACCCATGGTTTCTGAGTAGGAGTATTTTCTGGTAGTGGGTTACAGCCCACCCTAATCCAGGGAGATAATGCTGGCTTCAGTGGGTGAGTGAGTGAGTTTGATTTTACGCTGCTTTTAGCAATATTCCTTCAATCATGGCGGGGACACCAGAAATGGGCTTCACACATTGTATGTATGTGGGGAACCGAACCTGGGACCTTGGCGTGATGAGCAAACGCTTTAACCACAAGGCTACCCCACTGCCCTATGCTTGTTTCAGTCTTCAGTAGGGCTAGTGCAACAGGTCTTATATTATTGTCATTCAGAACTGCCCATTTATATTCATTATATTATTGCAATCTCATTAAAATCAGATGTTGTGTTCCGTTATGAAACCTCTCTGCTTGAAGTCTGACCAAACATTACTTTGGAGGTCGAATCAAGTGAACCCTGGCTGAACTTTGTCCACCCAATCTAAAAAAGAACGACGTGTGGGTTCCTTGAACCGATCTGATGTCAGCTTACAAAACCAATTTCCTTTCATTTCAGTCTTAATGAAAGAAAACACAAATAGGGTGAGTGTACCATGTCCACAACAATATAAGAGTGTAACATTTATTGTCATTCAGAACTGCCTGTTCATAATCATTTTGGAATACAGAAAATCTGAATGCTGTGCTTGATCATGCTGAGAACTCAGAAGCTGATTGGCAGATTCGAAAGTTCACCCCACGCGACCTTCTAGGCAGAGTTGGTCAGATCTCACAGAAAAGTATTGAATTGAGGCAAAATATTTGATTTTTATGAGACTGATATTAATTGTGGTCAGTGACATCAATCACATAGTCTTGTAGCCATTACAATACTGTAACTAAAATTCCACCTGTTTTGAGATCAATATCCTCCCTTCCCCTTCAGTCTCAGCTCATTGGACCTTAATTTGTGTCAGCTAGGGATTGGTACGAACTTTTTGGGTCTCTTACCTTCTGATGTCAGCTAAGTGTTGCAAATAATTCAATGCCTTTTCGGCAGCGTATCTGTTTACATCCACCTAAGCAATAAGACCACGCCCACTAACAGATTATGTTTCCTGATTGGCTGATAATTGAGTGTGCTACGTAGATTTAACCATTAAACAAATTAACCCCCATACACAAACAGATTAAGTTGCCTGATTGGCTGATAACTGAGTGTACTACGTAGATTTAACCATTAAACAAAGTAGCCCACGCCCACAAACAGATTATGTTTCCTGATTGGCTGATAATTGAGTGTGCTACGTAGATTTACAGTTTTCACACCACTTTATCTATCTCCATCAACGCAAACATATTGAAGTCAATTCTTAAATACGTCATGGATGAATGCAGTACCAGAGAATATTATAACCACCTCATGAATATTCATCACTGTGATGGGGGACACAATCAAATACAAACTCCAATGCAATGCCTCTCCATAGGAGGTCACATCAGGTGAATTTTCGAATCAGCCAATCATCATCAAGGCTTCTAAATTCTCGGTTTCAGCAAGTGAAGCATTCCGACAAGCATCTCTGATTTTTTATTAAGTATCTCGGAAATGAAAATATACTGGGGAATTCTGATGCTGAAAACAAACTGAACCGTTAGAACATTATGTTACCAAAGGATGTCCTATCGAATATATATATTTGTTCTATGGCAGTTGTCTTTTGCCGAGATCTCAAGATTGAATCGATTGAATTGAATCGAGATTGTAAAGAAATGAAGTCTAATCGTTTTAGAAAGCTGACATCTGATTGGCTCAAGAGCCTATGCATCCTGCATGCAGATTGGATGGTCAAAGTTCCCTCATGGTTCACCTGACCAACCTCCTTGAGGTGTTGTCAGTTCTTGATGCAGAGTGGTATTGTAAGGGAGCACATAATGACTTCAATGACAGTGTTAAAAATTGGCACTAGTCCTGTAGTCCTTGCCAAACTGCCCAATAGTTAGGGTATCATAAGGACTAGTAGAAATTTGCCATTTTTTAGGGTTTGCTATATGTTATCATTATAAGGACTAGTGGACGAAAAACATTAGTTTCTATCGCTGAATGAGATGGGGTGGAAAACAAAACTTTTCTTATTTCACAAAGGTATGGAGCCGAGTGGCGCCACATAGTACCAACATAATAGCAAACAACACAACTGGGTAAAAATGTATGAGTATAAACATTTGTGGTGATAAATTTAATATCAGTGAAGGAAATATTGTCAGGAAGAAATGAGCTAGTATAAAAGGAGAGTTTACCTGACATACAAGACAAGTGTCTCCAACATCCTGTCATCATCTCACACAATGAAAACCCAGAAATCCAGACAGAATTGCCCAGATATTCAAAACTCCAGCTTTACCAAAAATGTTTCAGGGTATTGTCCCTTCATCATACATTTTTTAAACAAGTGCAAAAGTGAGTGTGGCTCACTAATACCCCCAACCGGCCTAGTGTGTCAGTAGTTACAAATTAAAAATATCTAGGATAGGGTTAGGGTTTGAAAAATTCATAAAAAAATGGAAAATTAATAAAAACAATATTTATCTTTTGACTGCACCCCTCCATATGACACATATTACATGTACTAAGTTTGAGATGAATCCACGGAATAGTTTAAGAGAAATCGCGCGGACAAAGTTTTCGGAAAGACGGACGGACTGACGGACAGACGGATGGATGGAACCTTGGCATAACTATATGTATAATAAATCCATAGAGATTGTCTGGAAGGATCGACTTCAAGATCAATAGGTTCTGGTTTAACAATTTTCACTGTATGTTTGGTTATATATATGTAAACAAAATGAGTACATTATTTACAATGTCATTCTTGAATAAACAAAAACTAATAAACTAACAACTAATAAACTACCATATACATTTTGGCAGTAAGCATGTAAAATCCATTGAAAGAGTAAATGCATCTATAAATTGGTAGATAAACACAAATATTGTGTACATCAAACCAGTGTAAAAAGGCTGCTGTGTGATATAGAACTGAATACCATGGTGAATGAGTAAGTAGTAATCTCCAGCCATTGCAACTTGTTGCGTTTAAAGGTCTTCAGTAAGGCACACCTAACGGCTGGAAGACCGAAAATATCACGTGATCTGATTATGTCATAGAACTTGAGTCACATTATGACAGGTTGTCTTGTCAGGTCGAGGACTGCATGTATAGAACAGGCATGTGGTGTGACGGGAATTACAGTTGAACCACATTCCTCAGTGAAATCGCTAATGTGCCAATATATCGACTTCATGGCCCCGACTATGCTAATTTGTTTCTTTCATAAAAAGATCATTTGTCTCATACAGTCAAGTCTCGTTAATCTGAGACTCTTTAATCTGACAATCGTTTTTTTCTGATACAAATGATGAAAACCAATCTAATCAATGCTATTTAGAACTGTTAACCAGACAGTTAAGCACTCTGTTATCCGACACACCTAATTTCCAACGAATTACTGAAATCACTCACTAATCAGTCTTGTTAATCCGACACAGTGATCAACGTACTCTGTGGTCATCTGCCCGCGAGTACACTGCTCGTGTTTTGATGCGACAAGAGTCAGCTAGTAGCTGCAGAGATAAACTTGCTTTACAATAAACAATTACTGCTTTAAATAACAAAACAGGATTAATCACATGCTTAGATTACCTTAACCTCACTATGTTTTTTTTTTTGTTTTTATGTTTTACGCCACACTCAGCAATATTCCAGCTATATGACGGCGGTCTGTAAATAGTAGAGTCTGGACCAGACAATCCAGTGATTGATTTCATGAGCATCAATCCAAGCAATTGAGATATATCAGATACAAGTTCTCGCTACCGCTGAGGACATCCCATTACAGGTCACGTCAGAACGAACTCAGTCAAACTGGCGACTTCTATTCCAGACTATGTTTTTTAAAGAATTTTGAAACAGTCATACAGTCAGTAACTGTAGTTTTGTGTTTAGCTTTAGAGGTTGTATGATTAAAATACATATTCCACTAACAATGTATAATGAATATGAATATTTCATTTTCCATTTATTTATTACATGTTTGTATTGTAATGTATTGTGTAGTTGTCCGATTTTCAATCACTAACTTTTGATACTACTTAATTTGTTTATCCAACATACTCGTTATTCCGACATAATCATATGCAACCAACCATGTCAGATTAGCGGGACTTGACTGTATTTGAAACTACAATATATTCCCATCAGGCTAATCTCTGAGTTGGTCCCAGTGCGGCATATACCATAATCTGAGATCTATATACTGAAGTCCAGTGACAAAATATGCCAAATACTGGATGGAAAATATGTATGCAGTTCTATAATTTGTAAGTACTTAGTTTACAGATCTGCCATCCCTAAGTTTCACCAATATAGAATAAAAGATATATATGGCGGCATTTTTGCCTTGGGCAGAGTCTGATAGCCATGGTAACCACAAAAACTTCATACAGATCCTAATGAAAGGAACAATGGCCACTCCCCCTAAACACTATTTTATATTCTATTTAATATTTTCTGATTTACTTCACCCAAATGACAAGAACTTCCTTTAAAATAATGCATGTTATCCATATTTCTTTTCCAATTTCTTTTCAAACAAAACTTTAGGGAAATAGTCTGTAAACCCAAGTACTACATAAAAACTGTCCTGAGCTTGTTTATGCTTCAATAATGCAAACTTTTAAATAAATAACAAGAGTCCACTTTAATGAGAGTCCACTGTAGCAAGGTTTAACTGTAAAAGGGTCTATTATACCAAGGTCTACTATCAAAAAGGTCCACAATATCAAAGGTCCATTGTAACAATCTCTAAAATAAATGGGTCCACAATATCAAAGGTCCATTGTAACAAGTGTCTACTGTAACAAGGTTCCCCTGTACAGGACTCTGAAATGAAAGAATAAACACATTATGTATTTGTTAAGTATTTTTTTCACTAGATCAAGTAAGTAAAAACGCTTTAGCTCACCGGTCATATTGTGACTTCAGTGACAATCTGTATTACCTTCTTTAACGATCTTCAATCCACAATGTAACTACAACGCTATACATGATCTTCTTAGACCACACTTTTGCCCATCTTCCCAAGGCAAGGGAGTTAACTGACTATAAAGGTTCAGTTGCCTACCATGCCAAACTAGACTGGAATTTTTGGGCTCGGTTGTAGCGCCACCAGTGGCGACTACGAGTTATGTCCCTGCTATGCCCCTCCTATTGACCAATCAGATTCCAACTGTCATATAACTTGTACTTTCTTCAAACAACATGGTGGCGCCCAGTCAAGACAATCTGATTGATGATCAAGATCTATATTGTAATAAAATGGGTCTTACCTCGTGAAGTGCATCAAATCATGTGAGCACCTTGATTAACACATAAAAGGATTTGGAAAATATAACTAAGGAAAAGAATTTATGGATGAACAACTTCTTTATTACAATGAAGAGTGACGTTTTGGTGTAGGTTCTAACACCGTTATCAAGCAAGTGATTAGAACCTACACCGAAACGTCGCTCGATTTCGACTTTGGTGCGCGCTTTGTATTGGACTATGCAAAGACTCGCAAGTCCAGCCAAAATGTAGCTCCATAATCCCAGCCTAGTTCGGCAAGGGTGTAAACTGGACTTTAAAAGTCAGTTAATTCCCTTGCCTCGGGAAGATGACTTTTGCCAAGATTTCACTAAAGGCCATCAGACCATGGCAGCCAGCATTCCTTGATTATAAGTGAGCAACTGAGTGAGTAGGATCTGACACAGCATTTTGATTTTGTGTTGGTTTTTTTTGTTTAATGCTGCACACAGCAATATTCCAGCTATATGATAGTATTCTGTAAATAACACAGTCTGGACCAGACAATCCAGTGATTGACATCATGAGCATCGATCCACGCAATTGGGATATTGTCGTAAAAGGCGACTATGCTTGTCGTAAGAGGCGACTAACGGGATCGGGTGGCCAGGCTCGCTGACTTGGCTGACTTGTTGCATGTCATCGATCCCAATTTGGCGGATCGATGCTCATGATATTAATCACTGGATTGTCTGGTCCAGACTCGATTATTTACAGACCGCCGTCATATTGCTGAGTGCGGCGTTAAACAACAAACCAAACCAAACCAAACCCTTCATAGTGAGCAAGTGAGTATGGTTTTATGCCACTTTTAGCAATATTCCAGCAATATCACATCAGGGACACCAAAAATAAGGCTAACATTGCAACGATGACCCCTGGACTGTGATCACAAGTTTACCTCACCACCCAACTTGATCATGAATACTGAGGACAAACAGAAGAACCCTACTTCAGTCTCCGGTGGCATAGCCAATCGTCTGTAGAGCGGCCTTGATCTGTGGGTAGACGGAGGCGTCTTCAATCGTAGCAGGGATCTGGGGAGAGACAGAACAAGCTCACTCACATGCTGGGGGAGAGATGGGGGGTGGGGGGATGTGTCATACAGATGTGGAACATTACAACAATATTAAAGTACTCACGGAAATGAAAAAAACCTGTTTTTCTCAATCTAAAAATCGACACAAAGCATTACGTAGATGTAAATACGAAATAACAAAACAACTCGAAAAGTACTAGTCTGGATTTGCTAGTTTGATCTCAGTGAACAATACAAAATGTACTTTACAGCAGGTAATTTGTCGGCACTTTCAACATTCAAAAATAAAACTAAGTCCAAATTGACATAGCAGAAACAGAATATAGGCATTATGCACCTGTTCTCACCTGTCGTCAAGGTGTCATAGGTCACCTTGATCTACTTACACCTGGTTATGCCCTGTTTCATAATAGTCTGTTTTATTCACATTTTGACACACTTTTACGTGTAAAAAGGCATAAAATCATTTGATACGCTGTATTTGTGCCACGGCCCAATTAGTACTAATTTAGTTGTTTGAATATTTACATATTTTGTATATTAACTGCATTTATTTAAGATCTGAGGTCGAAAAAACAGGTTTTTTTCATTTCTGTGAGTACTATAGTAACAGTAGAAAAGGGAAATACCGCAGCAACCAGACACAATTAATTCACCAGTTGGCAGAAGCAACGTTTCCACTGCAAGAAAACTGGTAAACTGTTGAAAGAAATTACATAACGCAGTGACTGGGTTAATATGTTACCAAAATCAGAATATTTCAACTTGTAGTCTTGGCTGCAATAGCATGTGATTAGCTCACACATGTATATGGTTAATTATCATCCAAAACTGGCTCCCACAGGAGATATCACTTTTGTGAGATCAAACGATATCTACATTGTAGATATCGCTGCAAGGAAATTGCATCACAATGCTTTGTAGACCATTGTGACGTCATTGGTGGAATGAGTATGACTGAAAATGAAGCTTGGTGGGACAGGGTATTTAAACCACAGAGATAAGGCTTAAAAAACTTAAAGAATCGGTTCGGTAATAGTGCAGGTGGGCTGTTTTTGTTTGTTTGCTTGTTCAAACTAGCATGTCACCAGATAAACAGTTGTGTACCATCAACCTGGGAAAGGGCCTACCTACACAAACAAACACGAGATGTGCAGTAAAGCAGTACGCATGTAAAGGAAGTAAATGTGTACTATGGATCACATATTAGAATTTTTCATTTTTGGGGAAAATGGAAATAAAAACGAAACGTACAGCAGACTTTAGGATGATGCAGTAGGTGTCTGAGAACCAAGACTATTATTTTTTTAGCCTAATGTGAACACTAGATGATCCTAGTTGTCCGCTGGCCCGCCATGCTCCTCCCTTTCGATTGTGTCTAAAGCTGATCCAGCATTTTAATAAAGGAGGGGTCCAAAATCTCAAAATCCTATCTCAGTAGGGGGGGTGGGGGGGGGATTGTTTACAACACACTACATTCGGTTTTCAAAAAGGGGGGTCTGGACCCTCTGGACCCCACCTCTGGATCCGCCTTGATCCGGATTCTGTTTATCAAGGCCATATATCTTACACAGTGGAATATCTCGTGTCAACATTACTGTTAGGCTGAACAAACTTGGCCGACCTTGTAGGGCTTGTTAGCCGCCATTGCTGCCATGGTATTCCGTGCGACTTTCCCAGAGCGTGTCTTGGGAAGTTTGGGTACGATGACAGCTTTCTTGAAGGCGGCGACCGGTCCGATCTTCTCTCTCACTGCCTGAATCACATCTCGTATCACATCCTCACCAGCCTTCTCCAGGCCTGGAAAATAGGAAGCAACTTAGACAATGTCTCAGTCGCACACTCTAACTGTAATGGCTGGACCTTGAACATAGAACGGCAAAATACCTTGGAACATGTCCTTTTGAATTAAAAAATGAACAGATCATGCTATTTTTGTGATTCATTAAAACTCATTATGACAAATTACAATGCTCAGTAACAAAGTAGTGCTAGTGCCGCAGAATGGGAACCTGCATAATGCTGGCACATTAACTGTGATATTCATTTTCCAGATGTTGCAAACTGAATAAACTGACTGATTAAACAATGTATTTCTGCAGTGATGGGTACCTTGTGTTGTTGAATGACCTTGACCCTTACCCTGCCGGATTTTGACCCTTACCTTGCCTGACCTTGACCCTTACCGTGCCTGACCCTTACCCTGCCTGACCTTGACCCTTACCATGCCTGACCTTGACCCTTACCATGCCTGCCTTGACCCTTACCCTGCCGGATTTTGACCCTTACCTTGCCTGACCTTGACCTTTACCGTGCCTGACCCTTACCCTGCCTGACCTTGACCCTTACCCTGCCTGACCTTGACCCTTACCATGCCTGCCTTGACCCTTACCCTGCCTGACATTGACCCTTACCCTGCCTGACCTTGACCCTTACCGTGCCTGACCCTTACCCTGCCTGCCTTGACCCTTACCCTGCCTGAGGGGCGGTCGGGTAGCCTAGTGGTTAAAGCGTTCGCTCGTCACGCCGAAGACCCGGGTTCGATTCCCAACAAGGGTACAATGTGTGAAGCCCATTTCTGGTGTCCCCCGCCGTGATATTGCTGGAATATTGCTAAAAGCGGCGTAAAACCATACTCACTCACTCACTTACCCTGCCTGACCTTGACCCTTACTCTGCCTGACCTTGACCCTTACCCTGCCTGATGATGCAGATGCCCACTGGGATCTGCCCCTTGAGAGAGTCGGGGACACCGATGACAGCTGACTCCACGACATCCTCGCACTCCAGGATAGCCTGGAGGGAGAACTGATTATCAACAACAGTTGCAGTACAAAACAAGCATTGATTCACTCACTCATTCCCTCACTCACCCAGCTGTCACTCACTCACTCTCACTCACTAACCTGTCACCCACCTGTCATTCACACACCCACCTGTCACTCACTCACTCACCCACCTGTCATTCACTCACTCATCCACCTGTCACTCACTGACTCACCCACCTGTCACTCACTCATCTATCCACCTGTCACTCACTCACTCACCCATCTACCTGTCACTCACTCACTCACTCATATGAATGACCTCCCATCTGACCGACCTCTTCGAGTGCCCCTGCCGAGATCCTGTGACCTGCGACATTGATGACATCATCACTTCTTGCCATCACAGCGATGTAGCCGTTCTCGTCTCGGAAACCTGCGTCCATTGTGTCGTAGTAACCCTGGATCAATGCGATGTAGAGATTTGTTAAACAGGCTAAACTTCCCTGAACAGTGAACAGTGAACACAGAGCACTTGTTGACGATATCGATGTCAACTGCTGACTGACCAGTCAGTAACACATGATGACTTGGGGAGGAACTCATTCTCAAAAATATACAACAAGGTAATTTTTTCCACAAATCATGACCACATTATCTTCTGTACAGAGACTGATATTCATCCCCAAGTCGCTTGCCGTAAAAGGCGACTATGCTTGTCGTAAAAGGCGACTAACGGGATCGGGTGGTCAGGCTCGCTGACTTGGTTGATGCATGTCATCGATCCCAATTGCGTGGATCGATGCTCATGATATTAATCACTGGATTGTCTGGTCCAGACTCGATTATTTACAGACCGCCGCCATATAGCTGTAATATTGCTGAGTGCGGCGTTAAACAACCAACCAACCCCAAGTCACCAGTCTACATATTTGAAATAAAAGTTTTCCATTAACACACAATGCCATTAAGAAAGTGGTCAAATGTAACCAATGTTATATTTGGGATAACACTTTCTTAGTAAAGTACAGATTCTTGTACTTTTTTAATGCCATTGGGTGTTCATAGCTTTCAGCCATGGGAGCCGTGCCAATTAACACTTGTCAGAGGGGTACTCAAAGTATGTGATCTAGATTACCAGTTGTCGGACTTTCATTTTTGTGGAAGCCTCGGTGGCTGAGTGGGTTAGATCACTGACTTTGTGTGATGGCGATTAGGTGCCTCACTCTGGCAGTGTAGGTCCAAATACCGGATAGGACTCAACCCCAAAAACGTATGAGGATCTGTACTTTACTAAGAAAGTGTTATCCCAAATATAACATCGGTTAAAAGTTTTCCAGTTCATGTTATAGTTATAATGCATGTTATGGCGTTGTATTGTTTGTATTTCCCTGATAACAAGAACAATATAAAGAGGCTTTAATGCTGAGTTAGATATTAATGTATACAATGCCATGTTAAAATACCTCTGAAGTTAGGAATATAACAACAATAAAAAAAATCACAGTTTGAAAATAAAGGAAGGAACTTTTCCAAATTTTCCTGCCCATTGAAAAAAATTCAGATAAAACCCAAAAATAACCAAAATATTCTCTGAATAGCGGCAGTGGCACTGTTGGATGAACGGTTGTCGGGTAAAAACACACATTCCACCTACCGTATTCGACGTAATAAGCGCCCCGCTCTAATAAGCGCCCACGGCAATATTTGCTTATATATTGGCTAGTGAACAATCCTAAATAGCACCCCTTCCGATTGATCAATGTACACAAGACTTATATATTCGCGTATAATACGCACTCGTGTGTGTTATATGCACCCTTAATTATGGCAATTAAATTCTGGAAAAGTATATCTGTCGTACATAAACATTTCAGGCTGTCAGCATAAACCACAAAATTTATCTTTTAACTCTGTTTTTTTTCACTAAAATGATATTCTAATAAGAGCCCCCTATTTCTAATTTTGAAAGCGCCCTGGGTGCTTATTACGTCGAGTATGGTATATTAAGTTGACACGCTGACATGATATGACACATATACAGCATGAGGGGTGTACTCACGGGTATTTTGGTGAAGTAAGTTTCTCGGAAGCGCTGGTCGGCCATCCATAGTGTGGAGAAGGAGCCGGGGGGGAGAGGCAGTCTGACACAGACAACACACATCTTAGCACATCGGTACACTTACTGTCTTAGCACGAACATAACCCTTGACTAAACAACAGACTCGTCATCGTCTCTCCATACAGTACTCACACAAGATCACAGAGTATATATGCACTATACATGCTTGTTTCAGTCTTGGAAAACATTGTTTGTTTCATTGATAGGTGTGTCACACACAAAACACATCTTAGAACATACCCATATTGCCTTACCATGAACATAAACCTTGATTAAACAATAGACTCGTCATAGTCTCTCCAACATGCACTATACATGCTTGTTTCAGACACAGTCTTAGAAAACATTGTTCGTTTCATGCCTAGTCTCACAGTGGCCAGTAAATACACCAACCTGTGGTTGATATTATGAGCAATGTCACCTGACCATCCAATCAAATAAAATTGCCAAACATGACAAGCAACAGAGTGGGGACCTATTCTAGCCCCATCTTTGAGGTTCATCTTCCCAAGGCAAGATCGCTAACGGACTATAAAAGTCCAGTTTTCAACCTTACTGAACTGAGCTAAAATCTCTAGGCTTGAACAGGTCTCTGACTGACTGACATAAACGACCCGATATATCAGAGTGACCTACTTGACAGCAATCTGGCCGAGTTCTTCTGGCTCTGTCTCACTCCCATCTTCCCTCAGTACCTTCACTGACACACAGACAGACACGTGAGAAACATGGCTACCAGATTCACTTCTTCAATTTCATCTACTACTGTATTCGACGTAATAAGCGCCCAGGGCGCTCTCAAAATTAAACATAGGGGCCACTTACTAGAATATAATTTTGGTTAAAAAAAATTAAAAAATTGAAAGATTGTAAATTTCGTGGTTTGGCGAACACAGAAAACAACCGATCTCAGTATTTTACCCTTTTAGATATATACGTCTCTTACAAATAATATTACCTGCATGCTTGCATCATCATCATCATTATTATTATTATTATTATTATTGAACCACAGTGAAACCCAAAATAGTCACCATTCCATCCTGGCACCGGTTTCCCAGCAACCCCTGAAGGAGGATACAACTGCATGCCGAGACCAACACACGTAGACGTGATCGGCGACCCTGTCTCTGTAATACACAACATTTATAAATCTTGTAGGATAAGTGAGTAGGCATTAAAGGGCAAGGAAAGTGATTATCAATTTTCCTAAATACATTTAGTCAATTTCCGAGAGAGAGAAACTCATTACATTCGTAGAAAGTATTCAATGTCTATGTGAAAGTACTGAAATCACACACACCGTAATCGGCTTCAAAACAAACCTATTTGGGGGAGTGGCCTAACGCTACCGACACAGCAGTGACAACTGTTTTCATTGGCTGATAGTTTTGCCACGTTTGTCTTTCCAATGATTCACAGCCATTATATAAATACTGTTTCTGCAATTTCTGTTACAAATACAAAAATAACAACATTGCACACATGAATTGAATGTGTGAAACGACCTTTGAACTTGACAATGTGAATAATTAGAATAACAATTAACAATCGGTAACTAGCGATTTCTTACTAACATCCTCCATCCTATTTTCCACAATAAATGCATGTCAGAGATAAATCCCCTGATAAAACAACTGAAGGCTTCTTCAGTCCTGTTATCAAGGTGACAAAAGTTGTAGATACGGTAATTAAATGGATGAGCAGACAGGAAAAAAGACGATGTATTACAGAATCCGAGGCAGAAGTAGGCAGACTGGACTTCCACCCGAGCGTCATGATTGTTGAAATTGCACAGCATGTCAAACACCAGGAACCCATTTTAACCTCCACTAAGGGGAATCACCTTTTTTCGTTTGGGGGACAATTTCACATCTGTTTTCACTATTTCCGTTTTTTAAATTTCACTTTGGTCAAGTATTTGTAATTATGTAGCGGCCATAAAATTTCCAAGTCTCGTGATGGGAATCGAACCACAGACCTTCTAATCAGAAGTCAACGCCTTGTCCAAATGACCAAAGAGGTTAACCCTGTCAGCAGGCTGACAAGGTAAGAATGTCATCTGTAGGATGACTCCACGCCCTGCTACATACTCCCTTGTCAACAGAAGGCACGTCCCGGGCTGCATAGCAGGGTACTGAGGCTTATTTTGCTCAAATTTAAAATGAATGTGCTCAGCCCCACGTTGGGCGCCAATGTAGCGGCCAAAAGATTTCCGAGTCCCGTGATGGGATTTAAACTACAGACCTTCTGACACATTGTCCATATGACCAAAGAAGTTAACCCTGTCAGCAAGCTGACATGGTAAGGATGTCATCTGTGGGATGACTCCACGCCCTGCTACAATTGATAATTCCCTAAAGTATTAAGAACTGCCAAGTTTCTATGATGACAACATTATTGAAGGAGGAAAGTACCAAGTCAAGCAAATTTTAGACAATTTACACTTTGGTAGTTTGCCAGTTGTAATATTGTTATGTACTGACAATGGGCTTGATATATATATATATTACGTACGCTTCTGAATCTATCAGAGTGGCGTATGAATACCAAGCATTGATATGAAAAGTAGTCCGTATTGCCGTAAAAGGAGTGTTGGGTGTTGTGAGGTGGAATCCATGTATGTCTGAAGACATACACAACAGATACAAACCAACCTGTTTGCCACCAGTTGTCTAGGATGGGCTTCTTGATGATCTCCTGGATCCACATCATCGTCTCGGGGTCCATGTGTTCCCCAGCCACAAACAACGTCCGGAAGCTGTTCAAGTAGAACGATGACATCTACATGTGCTCAGAGGACAATAATCACCCCTAAATCAGCAGGTAGATTCCCAAATAATAATTACATTATCCCAATTCATGTTAATATTGTTGTGATCACAAAGTCTACGGTGACTTTTATCATTACAAGAGTCGATGAGAAAATATCAGCTCAGTATAATGTATGTACTGGTATGTATGTCAGCATTTAAGAAAGAAATATACTTACTTTTCTAGAGGTAAATATTGTCTCAATAGTTTTCCTTCAGGATCCTGAAATAATAAATATCATGTAAAATATAGTCACACAGAAACACCTGTATCTATATGACACACCTACATCAATGTGACACACCTCTATCTATGTGACACACCTCTCTCAATGTGGCACAACTCTAGCAATGTGACACACCTCTAGCAATGTGACACACCTCTAGCAATATGACACACCTCTATCAATGTGACACACATCTAGCAATGTGACACACCTCTAGTAATATGACACACCTCTAGCAATGTGACACACCTCTAGCAATGTGACACACCTCTAGCAATATGACACCTCTAGCAATGTGACACACCTCTAGCAATATAACACACCTCTAGCAATGTGACACACCTCTAGCAATATGACACACCTCTAGCAATGTGGCACACCTCTATCATTGTGGCACAACTCTATCTATGTGACTATCAATATAACACACCGCCATCTATGCGACTCACCTCTGCTCTGATAGCTCGGAGTGCTGTGGGTGCGGTGAACATTCCGTTGACACCGTGTTCCTGTAACAGACGGAAGAATGTCCCGGCATCCGGCGTTCCTACTGGCTTACCCTGCAACACACGGAGCGCTGTTCTATCACATCCACAACAGAATCATGGGCACATCCCATCTCACCCAAACTCCCCTGACTGAACAGACTCACCCAGTGCAGGCACCTCCATAGTCATGCACACAGTTGATTAATTAACACAAATTCCGGATAGTGTATTTTTTAAATCTTTTATTGTTTGGTGTTTCACAGATTCCAGCCATGTCGTGCCTGCCTGTAGGTATTCAGGACAAACCACTGGTTGATATAAAGAGCAACATCCACTGCCACTGGGGTACAATGACAGCCAATCAATATTATCATACCTCCATGTCAGAATGATGAGATCTGATTGGTCCACATGACCTTGATAAAATACTATGTATCACTCCTTGGAGGGAAATAAATTTCTCAGTGGGAATAAATCTCTTATACCCCACCATGAACAAGACAGGTTGCAAGGGAAAAAAGGCACTGGTATCTATTGGATGAGCTGACAGAGAGGAGACAATGTATAACAGAATCCAAGAAGCAGGCAGACTGGGCGTCGGCGTGATTGTCATGATTGTAGGTAATACATTAATAATATATTTTAGAACATGAATACTCACTTCAAAAATAATTGTTGTGTTGTTGTTGAGCAGAGGAGCGTAGGCGATGTAGGAATGTCCAACCACCCAGCCCAAGTCAGACGCCGCCCACCACACCTGCAGCCAACAGTAGGGAGAAAACAGTCTCAACCCATCTAGTTATCAGAATATGGAAAAAAATACTTAATTGAAGTTGTTCTGATAAATATTCACCAAACTTAAATTACAGTGTATGCTGTAGCCGTTTTGCAAAGGCAAATGACACATTTTTTCAAATTTGGGACAGAAATACAATGCTTCTCAAGAAAAGTATTCACACACAAAGTTCATGCACCGGGTATGACTCATTTGTTTGTTTGTTTGTTTGTTTGTTTGTTTGTTTGTTTGTTTAATGCCACACTCAGTAATTTTTCAGCTTTATGTAAATAATCGAGTCTGAACACGTCAATCCAGTCATTGATATTGTCAACAATGATCTAAATACACACTATCAACCAAATCACAGAGCCCGACCACTGCCACCCAATCCATTGGTCATCTCTTACAACATACAGGCTGCTCGGACCTGTTCTAACCCAGACTACCACAGAGCAGGGCTCATGTGACTTCTGTGAGTTATAGATGGCCTCATTGCATGACCTGACTTAATATAGACACTGGCTGTTACACCACAAGGTGGGCATGTGTACTCACAGCTAATGGAGGAATGTCGTGTGAAGTACTGATGTCTTATCTGTTAGGGGATGGTCAGGTAGCCTAGTGGTTAACTCGCTCGTCACACAGAAGACCCAGGTTCAATTCCCCACATGGGTACAACGTGTGATGCCCATTTCTGGTGACACTCGCCGTGATATTGCTTGAATATTGCTAAAAGCGGCGTAAAACCCTACTCACTCACTCACTCACTAATCTGTAGGACTCACGTCTCCTGGATTCATGCCATACACGCTGTACATTGACCACTTCAGATTGACAGCATATCCTCCCGTGGGCCGAACAACAGCCTACGTAACGAAATAAGTAAATCTTTGATGAGGTTAATATTGACAAATAACGAGACAAACATAATACAGGAGCCCCTTCACTGCCATTTCTGAGAGAGAACTGGACTTCAATATCAGTAACAAGTCGTTAACATTCCTAAATGTCTCCAGGTGGAATCCAGTGAAACATATAGCACATGCTACTCATAAACATGACTTACATCATAATATTGTCATCTAAAGTCATACTGGGGTGGTGGGGTAGCCTAGTAGTTTAAGCGTTCACTCATCGATTCCCCACATTGGTACAACGTGTGATGCCCTTTACTGGTGTCCCTGCTGTGATATTGCTGGAATATTCCTAAAAGTGGTAAAACCATACTCATTCATTCATTCAGTCAGTAAAGTCACATGTAAGACTTAAGTTTTCAAATCATATAACAACTACATGCATAAGACCTAATACATAACTTAAGAAAATGTGTTTTAGTGAAAACGGCAAACAAAATTTTACGAATGACCCACACGATGACCCTGCCCCAAGGCTCTCATCTGAATCCTAAGGATTACTGTTGGACTCCTCTTTCCTTGTCCTATACATGCATAAATGCTTCCTTTGGTATTATCAATCACAAATAAGTCCCTGCTATATAGAAATGCCCATTTATCAAAACTTTGATTTTCCTGAGAAGACCTCTGTATACAAAATGGTTCACATGTTTTACTGTCTGCCTTCGGTTATCTTCGCTTGCTTTGGATAGTTATCTGCCCTTAGTTTGGATAGTTATCCCCCTTTTCCTTGTGGAGTTATCTGCCCTTACCTCAGGGAGTAATGTACCTTTACCTGGGGTAGTTTTCTGCCCTTACCTCATGGAGTAATGTACCCTTACCTGGGGTAGTTATCTGCCCTTACCTCAGGGAGTAATGTGCCCTTACTTTGGGAAGTTATCTGCCCTTACTTCAGGGAGTATTGTACACTTACCTGGGGTAGTTATCTGCCCTTACCTCAGGGAGTAATGTACCCTTACCTTTGGGAGCCCCGTGGTGCCCGACGTATACAGGAGGTAGAGGGGGTCCATGGCCGACACGGGGACGCAGTCGACAGAGTAGTCCACGGTCATTTCCTCCTGCCAGGACACATCCATCCCAGGTGTCATGGCTGCAGCCTCAAACTGAAACATTTCACAACAATCCAATCAATAAAAGGCATTTATAAGTCAAAGAAGTTGATGAAATATGAACTTTAATGAACTAGAGGTGTGTCCAAGTACTTGCAAATAAAGACACAGCACCTTCACCTTCATTTCATCAAATCTCCAAATTACCGTATTTGCCGTAGTAAGCAACCTGTTCAAATAATGACCAAGTTTTTCACCAATCTACAAATAATCATTAAAACCACACAGTACAAGTTTATAATCTTTTGTGCATTATACAAATTCTTCTACAGAAAATTCAGCTGTGTAGGAGTGCTTATTATATGAAAAACATTACTGTGGGCATATCAATCTGTTTTTAGGGATCTGTTTTTAGGGATGCCATTTTGTCCAGTAATTACAGTATTCTTTATGAAATGGTGAACACTATGTATTAACAGTATATTAGTATTTATGACCTACATGTATTTCATTACCACAGTTATATTATTCAAACATTAATTAAATACAGTTTAATTCATTTTCAGCAAAATCGTTTGGGAACCGATCGTCTGATCACAGCTACACTGACCAGATTAACGTTTACGTTGACTTTGATTCACCATACCTTCATTGCCATAACTTGACGTAAACTGAGTCATGAATCTAGTTACATAGGATGCGGACTACCAACCCCAGGCCTGTTGTAGATGATGCACTTCTGTGGCTTGAACTCACTGAGGTTGATGGCCTCATCAAGCATGGGCTTGTACGGGACGACGCGCGACGGCTCCACTCCACAGTTGGCGCTTACAACTACCTTAGCCTGAAACAGACAAAACAGTCACAGTCAGTCTGACACGCCCTCTACAGATATCACAGTCAGTCTGACACGCCCTCTACAGATATCACAGTCAGTCTGACACACCCTCTACAGATATCAGTCAGACTGACACACCCTCTACAGATATAACAGTCAGACTGACACGCCCTCTACAGATATCACAGTCAGTCTGACACGCCCTCTACACATATCACAGTCAGTCTGACATGCCCTCTACAGATATCACAGTCAGTCTGACACGCCCTCTACAGATATCACAGTCAGTCTGACATTACACCAGTTTTAAAGACGTATTCAGGAAAGCACATTTGTGCGAGACATAGATTTTCGATATTGACGTGACAAGCATGCAAACTCGCAACAGTTGACCGTACAGACCGGCCAGCTGACCAGTACAGTTTTTTTCATGACATTGGTCAAATACATAGATGGATTGTTTTACAAGTAATGATAAGATACTGTTTAACTCTCTCATTAAACTCACTCACACATTCATCCTAACATTACAGAAGGATGATTTCAAAGATTTATTTGCAATGCATCCATTTTGTGTCTCCATTTATGATTTTTTGTGTCCATGTCGGGTTACACCTTACACCTTTCAACCAGCACTGACCTCTGAATGGTGGATCCGAGTTGCGAGTTCTTTAGAAGCAAATCCTCCAAACACCAGGGAATGTATAGCCCCTAGACGGGCGCAGGCCAACATGGCCACCACAGCCTCCGGGATCATCGGCATATAGATCAACACTCGGTCACCCTTCTCCACACCATACTTCCGCAGCACACCCGCAAACTTTTCTACCTGCAAGATTAAAATAATACAAAATCGAGGGCTAAAATCAATTTAATTAAATTGTGATCGATTACTCCGAAACAAACCCTCTCCTCGTAAAAATATGACAACCCTCAATGATGTCAATACGTCTTACCATACCTCATTGTCAGAATGATGAGATCTGATTGGTGATCTTGATAAAATACACGCCTTGGAGGGTCATAAGTTTCTCAGCGGGGGAATAAATCTCTTATAACCCCCTATGAGCAATACAGGCTAACCTCCACTCAACCAAACAGTTATTGTGATTTACAATGAATTAGGAATTTGTTTGAATTTGTTTGTGAGTAAAACATATGAACGATGTGGTGCCGATTTTAAAATGCTGGTCCCTAGGTTGGCATTCTAACATGTATTCGTCTGATTAATCCAGTCTGGCTCGTGGCATAAATCCTAACACGGGACGCACAAAACACATTACTATATTGTGGATATTTTATGGCATTGACACCCAAAATGGGAGTACCACTGAAGGAACCCATAAGGATCCGGGGTAGAATAGGTCTTCAGAAACCCATGATTGCTGTTAAACTGACTATGCTTGTGGTAAGAGGCGACTAATGGGATCGGGTGGTCAGGCTCGCTGCCTTATTTGATGCCTGTCATCGATCCCAATTGCACGGATCAATGCTCATGATGCCAATCACTGGATTGTCTGGTCCGGACTCGATTATTTTCCGCCATCATATAGCTGGAATGTTCTGAGTGTGGCGTTAAACAACAAACAAGCAAACAAACCACTAAAGGAATATTTTTGTGTTGTGTTGGTAAAACATATGAATGGTGTGGTGCCGAGTGCAAAATTATGGTCCCTAGGTAGGCCTTCTAAAATGTATTAGTCTGACCATTGAGTGAGTGAGTGAGTGAGTGTGTATGGTTTTACGCCGCTTTTAGCAATATTCCAGCAATATCACGGCAGGGGACAACAGAAATGGGCTTCACACATTGTACCCATGTCGGGAATCGAACCCGGGTCTTCGGCATGACGAGCGAACGCTTTAACCAGTAGGCTACCCGACTGCCCTTGTCTAACCATTGAAATATTTTCAGTGCTCATATAAGATTTCCTATAATATTTTCATCAATTACTGAGTCTGGTTATTTATTCACTGCTTCATCTGATTTTTATTCGGCACACAACAAGAACACATTTATAACTGGCCAAACGTGGTAATACTGTGAAATTCAATTAAAAAAACCAAAGGTCAGAACAAAGATGAACTGTTAGAGATACAGTAAACTACATTTATAACGAACACGCTTATAACGAACTGACGGATATAACGAATCTACTTCTTGGTCCCAGACATTTGCTGCATATGCTGCATATTTGCTTATAACGAATTACGGTTATAACTAAAATTTGAGTTTGTTATAACCGTAGCTAGTTTATTACATATCTGTGGTAGGGCAAGTGTCCATGTTTGTATCAACAGGACTATGGCAATAATTCCCTTGCTGTTACCTCTCGTTTGAGTTCCTTGAAAGTGATCTTCTGGATTGACTTGGTGACTGGACTGTCGTGTATAATGGCTGTCCTTTCTCCATGCCCGCTTTCCACATGCCGATCAACAGCATTGTAGCAGATGTTCAGCTCCCCGTCAACAAACCTATGTCAGTACAACATTGCCGTCAGTACAACATTGCCATCAGTACAACATTGCCATCAGTACAACATTGCCGTCAGTACAACATTGCCATCAGTACAACATTGCCATCAGTACAACATTGCCGTCAGTACAACATTGCCGTCAGTACAACATTGCTGTCAGTACAACACTGCTGTCAGTACAACATTGCCATCAGTACAACATTGCCATTGCCATCAGTACAACATTGCCATTAGTACAACATTGTCGTCAGTACAACATTGTCGTCAGTACAACATTGCTGTCAGTACAACATTGGTGTCAGTACAACATTGCTGTCAGTACAACATTGCCATTAGTACAACATTGTCGTCAGTACAACATTGCCATCAGTACAACGTTGCCATTAGTACAACATTGCCGTCAGTACAACATTGCCGCACTCAGCAATATTCCAGCTATAAGACCCAATTTTATTCTGATGACAATGTTCTACAACATTGCCGTCAGTATATCCATAAAGAAAAACAGAACATTGTTATCAGTACATTGTCGTGAGTGAGTGAGTGAGAAACACAGCCAGCAATAGGCATGACAGCTGAAGGATCACCTCAAGCTAGAGATAGCGGCAGGTGTATATGCTGATAATGAATCATAATGACTTGCAATCTGAGACTATAGAGATCTGCCACAGCTTGGTTCATACAATTTCCTGTCTAATTAAACAATCAAATATTAAATGATCAAATTAATCAACATCAAGAGAAAATATATCAAGTCATCCATTTCTACATAACCATATATTAAACACATAGATCTAACATAAAAGAAACGTTATAGATCTACTCTGTATTTCTTCTGCTCTGAAGGAGTGTTTAAATTTAGCTTGCATTTAAAATCTTTACCATGAAATAGCTGTCCATTGTTTATGATGCTTCCAAAACATTGTACTTATAAAACCACCCCATCTTTTCTCTTTTCACTCCCCCACCCCTCCCTCTCCCCAATATGGCCATGGAAGAAAATAGTTTGGAAAAAGTTGTTTATAAACATTCCTCTGGTCTACATCAATATGGCCACAGTGCCGTCTGATCTGACAAGCATTGACGGTGATGTCTATGTTTGTTATAAGTGAATACTGACATCAAGCTTACCATTTAGTGAATGGGGAATTACTGTCATCTAAGACTTTTGTCCATTTCTTATGCCAAGTTATCTGTTCAGCTGCTTCGGCCCAGTATTCGTCCGGTTGCTGTGTAGATCGTGAAAATGCGTTGTCGTAGAGCCTGACACATCTTGTGGTACTGAATGCACGTTTGTCGAGATTAAATATACACTTCTCCCACTTGCATAGATCGTTCACTGTTGATGTTTTCACAGTGCAATGTTTCAAAAACCTCGCAAAACGGACCGCTCGTCTAGTTAACACCATCTTGCTTCGTGACCCGACCTTGACCCGACAGGCAGCAGGGTGAAGCCACGGGGCTATGGCTGGCGTAGTGAATGCACATAAAATGGTTACGGTTTGTTAACACATAGCGCATATATTCGTTTGAGTTGACAGAGCCCAGGCATCAATGTAATAACGACATGGCATATTTAATAAGCAATTAGCAAACTGTTTTAATTCTGTAATAATAACTGTCCTCACTATTGGATTTAATTAGACCATTTAGACCCCGTTATGCATTTGTCAATGTCAGTGTATTAGTGTTTACTATTTATTCCTGATTTTATGATATCAATAATCAAAATCGAATTTATTATATAAAATAATTATTGATATCATTAAATACTTATTGAGATCACAAATTCGAAAAAAATGTATTTTATGACATCACATCTATATTGTGATATCAATTTATTTTTTATCAAATAATCGAATTTGTGATATCAATAATTCATTATTTGATATCATTAATTCGATTTGGTGATATCTAAAAATACATAGATTTTATTGATATCTTAAAATCGATTTACTGATATCAATAAACCTATTTATTGATATCTAAAAATACAAATTTGGGACATCGATAAATTAATAATTGATATAATAAAATACTATCAAGCATGCTTTAAAGCTAAAATATCTAGGACTATCCGTGGATATTACCAGTCTATCAGGCTAACTCTGTGACGTCTCAAAGGCTATAAGTACGAAAAAAGGGTACCCTTTGGGTGAGTGAGTTGGGTTTAACGCCGCTTTTATGTAAAAAATTATGTTAAAGAGAAATAGGGAAATATAGGCTAGCGGAGCAGCAATGTCGTTTGAATATTAACAGTTCAGGTAATACCTTCAGCATGCGTCCCGTTCACATCGTGTGTAGGAACCTGAACATTTAATAATATTAAGGAATAACCGACGACTGCGCAGTGGTTTATTCTCCCCGCAGTGTTTTATTGTACGATAAACAACGACCACGGGTCGTTTATTTCTTATCAACATAATATCATACATTATCAACATAATGTACAGCCTCTTTAAGGATGATGACAAAATGTACAAAATGTATTTCCCGCACGTTCACACAATCCTCACGTCGAGTACTTGTACAGAGAGAGAGAGAGAGAGAGAGAGAGAGAGAGAGAGAGAGAGAGAATCATCGCGGGTGATCATTTACGGCCCGACGAAGGCGGGCGGTTGAAAAGACCGAGGGCTTCTGCAAATGATCAATATGACGTCACATAACAATGGGGGTGATAATGACCAGTCATCAAGCAATATGAGGGCATTATCAAGTTACAGTGGCCCGCTCATTTCTGATAACATGCGGGCGTTTTTATGATAATTCTATCCATTTTAGCTATAATGTTCAATAGTGACGTCATCTGGTTTGTTCTATGACGTTTCCATATGTGTAAAAGTGGGTCAGTGACATTCGTTGTGTGTTGATTGCAGTAAATGTTTTTAAAATTGTTGTTTATTTTTTTACAGCTGAACTTCCGGTGTCCTTGTCCTTCGAATGGTCGTGGCTGGTGGCTGATGACAAGAATGTCCTCTTCTGGCATCCCGCACAGGACAGAAGGTAATCCCTGATTTAAGAGGCGGCATGAATCAAGTACTTTTCTGAGGAACTTGGTAGAAGCTTACAAAATACTTTCCCCTTGGAAACCTTTCTCAAAGTGCATTTTCATGGTAGATGTAAACCTACTTCAACACGAACACATTGGCATAGAGATGCTTGATTTCGCTTAAAGAGTAGATATGTGTTTTAGTACGTTTATCGTAATTTAACATGAAAAATAATAAATAAGAGGAAGTTTGTTGTGGCCTAAGTTTATTTGAATGAACTTGATCTCTTATTTCAGGATCCGACTGTCCTACCACGAGGGGTCGATACATGGGTCGTGGGGAACGGGATCCGACCTATTTTGTCTCCCGGTCCTGCGCCCTGAAGCTGGAGACTCGCTACCACTGTGAGGCAGGGGAAGCTCTCGCTGTTGTAGGCTGTGCGGAGCCATGTCTTGGATCCAAGAAAGCATTGACGGCTCACGAGTACCCGGAGAAATCTGGCCCCTGGCGGGTAGGTAGATTAGTGCAGCATTAGGTTTCATGACGGTTACGAGATAATTCACAACACATAATTTGGAAACACCATAACTTGGCGTGGTATTGGAAAAGATGTTTTCTTCATGTAAAAAATGCACGTTCATCTATTGAGCTTTGATTTATTTCCAAGCCTAACATCACTAACATGACTAATATGCTAAACGTTACTTTAAAGTCATTTCCCATTGGAGATACAATTGTATTAATAATTTAGATATGTTTCAGATAGAAATCCCGAAATGCATAATTATCATAATTCAGTCCATGTTTTTCTTCAGGCAAATACTCTACTGGACGTCCACCGTGACTACCAGTGGAAGTGGGCGGTCGTCGACGTGACAACGAGGAAGGTGAAGAGATGGGAGGAGCGTGCCAACAGATTCATCTCCAACAACTGCGAGCAGCTCTCCATCCGGGCAGTCTGGAACACGCCATCGTCCACCTCGTCCCACACCACCATCACCCAGAAGCAGACGAGAATGCCGCGGAGAATTTGGATGACCTTGTGACCTCGGGGATGAGTCATGTCATGTCGAGCTGGCAGTCACGACATGAGACAAACAAGAAACCATTTGTCAGTAAGTATACACGTCAAATATTCATTTCTATTTGAAGAAGGGTCAAGGGTGGGCCTCTGGCCTAAGCCGCCAACGTTTGCACTGCAGAGTTTAATGACGTCAGTGCATGTATTTGCTGATAGTGGGTTCGAATCCTGAATTCTCTATAACTGTAACCCGTGGTTTGACTGGATTACCCGGGGCTTGTGGGCTTCACCAAGATGATAGACGGTCTACGTCACTTTAGTAGTTCCTCCTCATTGTTGGACTGAAGATCCTACTTACACACACGATTTTAAAAAAACTTTGGTCAAATGTACACGCTACTAATTACACTTATATACCTGAGTTACAAAGAGTGTTTCCCTGTTTTAACATTTATTCACGTGTTTGCTACCTGGATGAATGATTTGTTTGTTTGTTTGTTTGTTTGTTTAACGCCGCCCTCGGCAATATTCCAGCTACATGACGGCGGTCTGTTAATAATCGAATCTGGGCCAGGGCCCATTTGCACAAAGCGATCTTAGCGCTAAGATCGCTTTGTGCAAGTGGGCCCAGATATCCATTGATTAACATCATCAACATCGATCTACAGGATGCGATGACAAACATCAACCAAGTCAGCGATCCTGACCACCCGATCCCATTAGTTACCTCTTACAAGCATAGTCACGTCTTATATTTTCAGTTACAGAAACGGAGAAGAAGGCAGTTTTGAACCAAGGAAACAACGTGAACAGAAGCCAAGAAGTCACAGGTCATTTCTTAGAAAGGTTCCTGGACTTGTCCATCACGTGACCAACTTCCTGAGTGACTGTTACTACTGGTTGTCATGGATACAGAACTGTAGATAAACCCTATTTTCTTAGAAGAGTTTGTATATATACACTTGTAAAAATATTGTAAATATTTGCATAGAATCATCTTAAATATCACCAAAATTCGTTCAAATATATTGTCATTGGAAAACAAACTTACAAATCGTGTTGTGTATGCAGATGGTGGTAATAGAAGCAGCATGGCGTGTGTACATCTAGCAGTCAAACAGAATTAAAACTCATTTTCCAAACTTACATAAAGTCAGTGTTGTGGTGTTTCCTTAACCAGAATGATGAGCGATGTGAAAGTTGCGAGATGGACATAATTATACTCACTCCTCCGAGATGCGCTGAAAACGGAGATGCCAGACAACGGTCATCCGTGTTTTGTTCTGCCCCGAGTGGTTTCCAGCATATGCATGTCCAGTCGCCTGTTGGGGTAGATGTGAAAACTGAAATATTAGATTTACATCACTACGAAATACGGCGCTTGACATATCGCTAGACGAGAGACAATCTTACCATTTTACCATTTAGCAGGTCAGGGAGTCGACATCTTTGTGTAATCTCCCTGAGCAGATTGATGGCATATTTTCATATACTGGAGGCAAATCGGACACGACGTCACAACAAAACAAAATCACACATCAACATATAATCTACGAATAGGCCCCACGCCCTCTTCTGTCTGTGATAGATTGACGATCCAGGGTCTGTGTTTGTACATATATTTAGGGGACATTGAGTCGATCGGCTATATCAGGATTTTATGAGGGATTCAATCCGTATGGTAGGAAGAGTGATTTCCCTTTATAGAGTAAATGTCGCTTAGCAAAATTTGAACAATGTTTCTTTCTAATTAAATGATACCTATAAGTATTAAGAATCATGAAATCGTTCTCGAAATGAAAATAGATTACTGTACATAGAGATGAAGTATAAAATGTATATATCGCAAAACAATAGCAAAATATTTGCTGGTGACAGTTCATCACCGTCGTCGATGAAAATGTATCACATTTCTAATCTTATCACAGTAATGCCTACATTGTTCAATTTGTTCTTATATTATTTTATAATGAAGTAGATCTGTGGAGACATGCAGATATTGTAAAAAATTGAAACCCATAACGTTGTGAGTGCGCTTGTATATTGTTAACCATGAACAATACTTCTACCTCCCTAACGGTAATATGTTTAATCCTGCAGCCTGACACGTCAATTATTCACACTGTCCAAAATTGCTAATGTCTCGCTACACGGAATTGGGTCAACGTTTCAGATATAGCGATATGCTGTAGGCCTATCTCCGTCCCTCTCGACAAACAGACCCGCTTCACGGAAATGTGTCAACGTCCCACCGCAGTGAAATGTTGTATGGGGAAAAAGGTCGGATAGAGCTAGACTGGTATACTGCCCTTCGTCTCCTAGCGGCGCTATAGGGCACATAACCCAGTCTTGCTCCCTGTTGTAATTGTTGCCGAATAACATATACATGTTTAGTATAATAATATGAATGTTTTAAAACATATTTTCATAATTATTTATGTATTTCGTATGTACGCATATGATTAAACACACGTGAGTCAAAGATACATTTTCTTTTAAAAGTTTGGATATTGCTGGAATATTGCTAAAAACAGCGTAAAACCATACTCACTCACTCGATTCTATATCTTCACATGGGTACACTATGAAAAACCCATTTCTGGTCTCTCTATATAATATTGCTGGAATAGCTTAAATCGGTGTTCAGCCGAACTTCTTTCTCCTAGCGGGCTCACGCATTGCTATAGTAGGTGTCATCCCACATAATCTAAATTTTCAACCCTAGGTACCCAATATCAATTAGGTCATGTGGGAATGCACGCATGGTGACGTCTTGTTATTAGATCTTGTATGAATGGGTTGCTAAGTGGGCTGTCATTTCATTAGATTATGTGAGCCTAAACCTGCTAGATTGATCTATAAATGGGTTTGGTAGCCTAGTGGTAAAAGCGTTCCCGAAGACCCGGATTCGATTCCCCACATGTGTAAAGCTCATTTCCGGTATCCCCCGCCCTGATATGGCTGGAATGTTGCTTAAAGCTTCATAGAACCATACTCACTCACTCACTATAAATGGGCTGATTCAGACCTGCAAAGCCAATCAGCCCGAGCGAAGCACCTCTGCAATTCGTTTCAGGATGTTTCATATGTTCATTAAAGTGAGGGTCATGGCCGTATACTCTATGGTTAAGTCTCACATGTGTGGTTCCCTGTACTCTATGTTGAAATGTAGTAGGCCGTTTACTCTACATTAACTGCAATACGTTGTGCCCTAAATCTATCTCGCTGACGCTCGCTTAGCGATATTTCGTCATTTGTGTTTACATTCTTCTGATCAACTTTCCTGTTATAACCATGGTAGGAGTATATATATAGACTACCAGGTTGTTACATATACCGCATCATGCTCCGCTGCGCCCCACGGTCCCTGCATCGAAGCAACTCTCAGACTCCCTTCGGCCCAGTCGTCTAAGGCGCCGTGATTCGCTGTGCAGAGTTGCGTCCCTTGGACACCCCAGAAACCTATGATTGTGGGTTCGAATCCCTGTTCGCCCCAATTATGTGTCTGGGTGTGTCAGCATCATACCCATGATCGTGGGTTTCAACGTAGTGGTAAACGTCTCAGACCTGCATCACTCCGGGCTTTCCTCCAACATTAAGCTGACACGCCGTAATATAACTGGAATACTGTTAAAGGCGGCGTTAAACCCAACTCACTCACTCACTCCCGCTCTGACCATATACTCTGCACGTCCAAACCGGGTTCAACCGAAATTTCCGACCATAATGCATTGGGGGCTGGTCACGTGACCCCTTCTTAAACCATACCACATGATGTAGATGCATGTACACAGTGTGCATTCAACAGTATCACTAAAATAAATCAAAACTACCAAAAGAACAACTTTACAGCCATTTGAAGTTCTGAAAAAGTCTAACTTTCGGTGACTTCTAAATGTCTATCAGTAACCGCTCATACTTCAAGACCAATGTCGAAATACATTCCTGGACAATATTGTATTTGCGGAAAGAGCAGACCCTTGGCAGACAAAGAAAATCCCAGGGAAAAATGGTACAAAGCATCATCCAGAGGCAAGGGCATTAACTGACTATAAAAGTCCATCTTCCCGAGCAAGAGAGTTAACTGACTACAAAAGTCCAGTTTCCACCCTTGCCGAACTAGACTGGAATTTCTGGCTCGATCGTAACGCCACCAGTGGTTATTACGAGTTGTGTCCCTTCTATGCCTCTCCTATTGACCAATCAGATTCCACCTCTTGTATCACTTACATTTGCGCCCACTCAAGACGATCTGATCGACAATCACGATCTATGCTGTGGTTAAACGGGTCTTAAATCGCAAAAAGCATCAAATCACATGAGCACCTTGATTAAAAACATGCAAAGATTTGGAAAATATCTGTTGACGCCGAGTTGGCGTAGCACATGCTTTACAAATCCTGCAATCGACCGAAATCTGAACGACAGTTTACGGACAGGATGTCGATTTCTTTGTGCGATTTTGATTGGACTAAGCATAGACTCGTTAATCCAGCCGAAATGTGACTCCATAATACCAGCCTAGTTCGGCAAGGGTGGAAACTGGACTTTTATAGTCAGTTAACTCACTTGCCTCGGGAAGATGATAAAAGTCCAGTTTATAGTCAGTCACCTCCATGGCTAGGTAAGCCGGGTACACAGAGTAAAAAATGTCCACACGCAAACATTTAACGTGGCCCAAATGTGCGCAGAACGTTTCCCCAAGCTATACAGGGTATTATTTATGTGATAGTTACTAGAAACTAGTAATTTGACCTATTTCAATGGTTTCATCTGGGCAATCCAGATACGACCCTATTTCTAAAAATAATTGTTGTAAAACTTGTAACCCCAGGCTGTCCTAAGGATATATTGCTTGGGATTTAAGCATAGTGGTTAAAGCGTTCGCTCGTCCAACCGAATGTATCTTGTCCACCTCCGTGATATTGATTGAACGCTGCTAAATCTCACTCCTCGTGCAATCACTCGCGCGCTCACATGTGGCAGAGAAAAGGATGGAGATTTCATGACGTGATTTGGTCAAGAAAATGTGTAAATCTTTTCTTTAATTTCTTTTTAAATTGATATTCGAGTCCCTGTTAGTGATATATCCAATATAAAACAAACACAACCTAGACGGCCACGGTTTCCAATCGTCTCTCACGTTGTAGTGCATGATTTTAAATAATCTGACATGGCGTCGGTTTTTCACGTGTCTTGCCTCGTGAGCTCGAGGTTGTACAACTTGACATTCATCATTGCGTCACACTGAAAGAAATCGTCAATCATTACGAAGCGGTTTCTTTACTTAATTGCCCAACTAATATTACCGTCCACGCAACCGAAGAAACGGCAAATATTCTTAATTCGTCTCAACCAGCTTGACCTACAATGCCAAGCACAGACTTAAAATATATAAACTGAAATTGATTATTTATTGGTTAACTCTGTCCGCATCATATACTGTAAATCTTGAAATTAACGCGAGCGGGAATTAAATGCGTAAAATGCGAGTGGTCTTTGTTTGCATTAATGAAACCTTGCATTTATATCTCCAAATTTACTATTAACAATGGGACAGGCTCACTGCACACTTTGGATTTTTATTTGGTGCCTATAACACCATGGATCCGTGTATATGTAATTCACGGTACGCTGTTGCCGTTTCACTCAGTACTGATTAACATTAATGAGACTATATGTTTCATATTGCACGTGCACATGTACGATAAAGCAGATGTGCGCATGCCTTCCAGCTTCCTGTTTAAGTCCCAGGTTCACTGAACGTGCATGCAGTGTAGTTCACTAGGCGGGTTGTCAGCTGCTTCTAATGTGAAACTGGTGCTATACCCCACACCGTTTTCTGAGGCTGCCAACCCCTTTTGGTACGCGGGATTCGGTGGTCTATTTAAACGGTATTCGGGACTCGGTAGTGTGTACCAAATAAAATCATATTTGGTACAAAATTTAGACATAGTAATGGTGTACTTTAAAGTTTCCGATATATTATTTTTTTCGATACTTTTTCAGTAATCTAATTTTATTCTCACCATTTGCTTTTTACATTTGTGTTATGTAGCATTCAGGATTCTGGCGTGCACAAAGAGACTCTTAACTTCTTTGGGAGGCATTTACAAATACTAAGTAAGGATAAGATTTAGAGATTAACAACTTCATTATTACAATTAGGAGCGACGTTTTGGTGTAGGTTCTAACACCGTTATGAAACAAGTGTTAGAACCTATACACCGAAACGTCGCTCCTAATTGTTAAAAAGAAGTTGTTCATCCATATATCTTATCCTTACATGATGAGACTCATAGTGAATATTTTAGACGGTATTCAGGACTCAGGGGAGGAGGGGTTGGCACCCTCTTTTCTTCATCTGGGAGGGTAGGGGTGTGTGTGTGTGGGGGGGGGGGGGGGGGGGGGGGGGCTGGGTGGCCCAGTCGTCAGTGGTGCAGCAATTCGCTGTGGAGACTTGTTGCTCTTGGACACACCAGAATCCTATGATGTGGTTCGAATCCCAGTTCGTCGCGATTGTTTCTAGGTTTGTCGGCACCATACCCGTGCTCGTGGGTTTCACAAGCGTCACTTCGGGCTTGCCTCCCACATCAAGCTGACACGTCGTGATATATCTCGTCTTGAATACTGTTCAAAGAGGAGCTCGACCCAACTTACTCACACCATCACTCTTCAGGTTCAGTTTAGAGACCCCAGCTCATTCATTATGTCTTAAAAACGTCCATTTATTATGTTTTCTTTAGTATACAAACAACCTATGGCGTTAAAACTAGATATACCCGTGAACATCCGGGGTAGAATAGGTCTTCAGCAACCCATGCTTGCCGTCAAAGGCGACTATGCTTGTCGTAAGAGGCGACTAACGGGATTGGGTGGTCAGGCTCGGTGTCTTGGTTGATGCATGTCATATATATGAACAGAGCTCCAGATAAGCTTTTGGTGTTGTGGGTATTTTACCCATGCATTTTAAAATCATTGGGTATCAGTAATTCTATCTGGGTATTCAAATTTCTGTTACCCACTAGTTTTTACACA